TTGTTAGAGTATCAATTTTATCAACAATATTACTTAATTTTATCCGTGACTGTATATATATATATATATATATATATATATATATATATATATATATATATATATATATATATATATATATATATATATATATATATATATATAGACACACATGTTTACACTTATATACAATTTAGGAAAGAGGTGAAGAAATCTGTTTTCCTTATTGGCCAACTAATAACGATGTTGTTGCCTATAATCAGGTAATATATTTGAAAAAATGGTTTGATTGAAGTATGACATTTGTATAGTTATTTAGTTGTTAGATAATTATATAATTTTTTATAATATTATGACTGCATCTTTAATGAAGTATCTATAATTAGCTATAAGTATCAAAGTATCTTTGTCTTTATGTTTCTCTTTTGCAACCACTGTTAAAGTTTGCAGTACCAGTTTGGTCACCTATTTAAAAGCGTGAAATTGATTTATCAGTAAGAGTCCAAAATTGTGCAACTTGATTAATACTATCACTTAAGAAAATCAACTATGAGAATCGTCTAAAAGCTCTTGACTTGATTACCTTGACAAAAAGAAGAAAAAGAGGAGACATAATTCAACTTTTTAAATCATTTAACAATTTTAATGATTTGAAAAATTAGTTTTTAACAAACTCAAAAGAGAAATTACTGCTTTAAATATGTCAAAGAAATTGCTTAATAGATAGCCAATTTATGGAATGACTTGCCAAGCGAGTTGGTTAATGCACAATCAGTTAACAGTTTTAAAGCAGGTCTTGATTGTCGGTCTGTCATAGTGTGTTAATACCACACTTACTGGCTCACACCAATTGCAGCACTTACTAATACTAATGCAAATACTATTTAAGAATGGCATAAAGCCATTTTTAATAATTTATTAACAAATTATGACATGTATTTTTATTATTTTAAAAGAATTTGATTAGAGATTACTATGCTTTTGTCATAACTATGCTGTGATCACATGTTGCCACCTAATAATGCTCTTCATTAAGGGAGAAAAACCTGTACCAGGATGATATTTTTAATCATTATTTTTTTAAATCATTTGTGTTTATCTTGTTTTTCTTTTTTTTTTATACTTTTCTTTGATCATGATATCTGTTTATATATTTATCTTTACTAATTTGTAATCTTTTCTATACTATTTTAAACTAACAAGTAATTGTTTCTATACTTGTCTTTTAGTAAAAATCTTTTTCATTTCCTTTTAACTAGTGAGTATTTCTTTCTACATTTGTTTTTATTGATGACCTAAAAACAAGATTATGCAGTTTTATTGAATTTTATATTCAAGGTCAAAGTTAAACAGAATTTTGTGAAAACTTATGAAAATTATATCGTTCGAAGGTTGGTTCTACAACATGATTTTATTGACAAGGTATTATGAAATATGATAAGAAAAATGATAAACATTAATTTGGAAAACAATTAAAATACTTTTAAATTATTGTTGTATAAAGATTATGAGTTTTTTAAAATTTGAAAGTTTTGAATTTTTTTTTTTCAAAATCAGATATTTGTGTATCTGTGATAAACATTAATTTTCAAAACAATTAAAATTGTTTTGAAAATTAATGTTTATCACAGATGAGTTTTTTAAAATTTGAAAGTTTTAGAAATTATTTTTCAAAATTTGATATTTGTGTATCTGTGTTGAATATGTTAATTTTGTTTCAAAAAGTTATAGTTTTAACTAATTTTAAGTTATTTTAATCAAAGTAAAACTATTGAAAATTATTGTAAATTATTTTAAATGCTCATTTTTCATTATGTTTCAGACACAAACATTATTTCATTTTCAATACAACCAGTGGCCAGTGGATTATGATGTGCCAAAATGTAGTAAACCTTTCATTGGTAAGTCCATATAGCTAATCATACTGATAAATTTTTCTTTTCTTGATTGTCAATAGTTAATCCAAATTGGAAGGCAGTGTATCACTTTATACAAGCTAGGTGGACAAAATATTTTGTTCTATAATTTGATTCTTAAGAATGTAATTCATAGTATTTTGGTGTTTTATTGATTAGTTAAGCATTTTTTGTTTGTTTTAAACTTCATTTTAACGCAAAAATTATGTAATAGAATTTTTACAAAAATAAGAAGAAAAAATATAAAATTTTCTCAACAAAATCATTGGATGAATTATTGTTATTTTCACTATCTGAAGAATCTAGGCCTAAATAATTTTCATCACCACATAAAATTTACTGATTTTCTTACTTGACAATTCTCTGTATGAGTTGATGAAAGGGTCTGTTGTTACCAAAAGCATATTAAGCAAATCTATAATTGTAGAAATACTTTTTTTTTTTTTTGTATGATCTTGCAGAATCAACAAAAATCTTTGTTGGAGACTCTCTAAAACTCTTCCGAAAGCTGTCCGATTAAGGCATGTTTTTATAACACCATGCTATGTACAAGTATTTTGTGCGCAGTTACAGGCTTGTGTCCCTGGCTTGTATAAAGCTATAAATTGTGCAATGGTATGAATAATGAAGTTACAGTTAACAAATTTATGTTAACAATTGATGAGTAATGCAAAAAAAATAGGACTACAATAAATACAAACAGTTTTCCAAAAGCCCAGCAACAAATTAACTGTTTTTGCTCAAGTTTCTAAAAGAGTTTCAACTCTCTCCTTTTGAATTTTTCCAAATAACAAATTTTTTTTTAACAGTGACAAATTACATTTAATTTTATAATTAATCCATGCATTTAAAAAAGATTTACATCTGAGTCAAATACAGCCTGCTATTAATCTTGAGAAGATGACTTGGCGGTCCTTTTAAAAATAAGTAAAAAATTATCTAATAATTTATATCCTTGCATTTGTTCTATATTTTTTTTCGTAGTTTGTATTAAGTAAATGATATCTGTAACCATCTTGTAAATTCCTGTTTAAAAATTTTAGTTTTCTTTATGCATGTATATTTTTTTAGAATTTATCAATGAGATTCATTCAATACAAAAATTGTTAAGTAATTCAACTTCAAGCTTGCAGCCATTGCTTGTTCATTGTGAAGATGGTTCTAGTCGAACAGGTGTTTTCATACTTGTGTCTACTTTGTTCGGAATAATTGAAAGAAATGAGGTAACTTTTTAAACCCTACTATTTTGTATATAGTGGGTTTAAGTCAATTTTGAAATTTTTTTGAATGATATGACTTGTATTTAGACACTTGATATACCAATCACACTTGCTGAGCTTCGTATGCAGCGTATGCATCTTGTTGGTTCTGTTCAACAATACAAATTTGTCTACACAGTTCTCATCGACTATCTTAGACAAAATAGACTAATCTAGATTAATTTCTGTCTTTATTCTTTTAATATATTCTAATATATAAGTTATCTTTTTTTTGCAACAGAATTTTTTTAATTGTTATAATTTTTTTTAAATTATTGGGTAACAAAATCATTTTAAATTTTCTAATTATAAACTTCAAAATTTTACTTTGTAAAGTAGTTTTTTATTGAACTGTACATTATTTAATAAATTTTATTTTTTTGTGATTTTATATAAAATAGTCTTTATACAAATATATATTTTGATTTATATATACGATTTATTATATATATCTCATTTGTTAAAATATGCATGATGTCATAAATTAAAATATATATGATGTCATGTGTCAAAGCATGATGTCAATTGTTGAAAGATGCATGTTGTGATTTGTTAAAATATGCATGATGTCATTAGTTGAAATTTACACAATTTCACTTGTTCAATTATACATGGTATTATAAGCTTAAACATTTTTAAAGAATTTGTTTAAGCTTATAATACCATGCTACTCTGCAGAGAAACAAGTTTGGTCATTTGAATTCTAAGTTCAAATTTGAAGTTCCAGCCTTCTTTTTCCCATTTCTCATTGACATTTTTAATTATAAAAAATATCACTTTTAAATCTAAAAAAAATCAATACATATTGGTTTAACTTGAAATTTTTTTTTCCATTTACAGTTTTAAATTATGTTTAAAAATTTTTTTTTTTTAATAATTTGAAAATTTCTTGTTATAAATTATTAAATAAAAAAAATATGTATATATTTTAAATAAAGTTAGAATAGAAAATTATACTAATTTTCAATATCATTAAAAAAAAATTTAGCAGATATAAAATAAAAATAAAACTCAAGAAAATCTAAATTTACCCAATAAAACCCAAAATTACTCAAAGAAACCCAATTAAGATGTTTTTTTTTAAAATAAAACCCAGGGTTTTGCCAACCTTGCATCTTTTAGTGAAACAACTAGTCAAACAAGAACTTATTTTACTTTGTTTCCGAGTCCAAGGTTTTCTAGATTCTTGGGATTGAGTATGTCTATTAAAAGTTAATCTGGAGCAACCTTTATTCAAGAAGTAATTTATAGTATTTATCCTATAAGCTACTTGCCTTCGTTGATGTTCTTATAAAAATTGTAGAATTTTTTTTTTGATTAGTTAATATTTTTTTATAATACATTAGTTAACAATGTAAAATAATTTTGATTATTATACTCAAGTGTGTTGTTTTTGGTAATTGTGACCTAAAAACTTAAACTATGAATATCCAATTATGCTTTTTTAAAAAGAGTCCTATTAAGCCCACAATTGTGTTGAAATATTAACTAAAAAATTTTTTTTTTTTTTTGATTAGTTGATATTTTTTTTATAATGTAAGTTTTAATAATACATTAGTTGATAATGTAAAATAATTTATACATAATACATTAGTTAATAATGTAAAATGATTTATACATAAATATTGTTTAAATATTATCCATAAGTGTTGTTATTTATAATATATTAATATTAAATATAAATATTATCCATAAGTGTTGTTTTTGGTAATTGTGACCTAAAAACTTAAACTATAAAAAAGAGTCCTATTAAGCCCACAATTGTGTTTCAGTGTATTTGGCATCGGGTTTATCTTTCCACAATTGTATTTTATAAATTTGGTTTAAAAATAACATATAAAACTTGAGTACCCTAAATTAAGAAAAAATTAAGGAAAAAAAAAATTAAAAAGTTAATTAGATATTAAATTTAATGTGAGATTTTTTTTATTTTAAATTTGGTTTAATGTGAAATATTTTTGCTACTACAGTTTTAAATTATGTTTAAAAATCTTATTCAAAATAATTTAAAAGTTTGTTGTTGTAAATTATTAAATAACAACATATATAATAAATTTTAAATAAATTTAGAGTAGAAAAATTATACTAATTTTCAATATCAATAAACACAAAAAAAAGATAATAAATTTAGCTGATACATGTCAACATTTTATATTCAACAATTAAATGGTTCTTGATTGAATCTATTATTAAAATTATTGAAGTATTATTTCAAATAAGATTAATATGAACACCGCATAACTCGACGGTTTGTGATACCTTTAAAATTAAGTTTTTAAAAAAATAATTTTTTATAAAATAAAATGAATAAAAAATACCATTTGCTTCCTATATCCCATGCTAAATACCCATGTGGATATACATACAATTGTATTTTATAAATTTACCGTAAAAAGTAAGAAAAAAATATCAAAAATTTAAATAGATACTAAGTTTATTGTGAAATTTTTTTCGAGCAAAAATTAAATTAATCTTTTGCTTTAACTAGTCTTTTTACATATTCTGCTGAACCTAGTTAAATCATTTAACAGAATGTGGAATATTACCAAGTTACCACTCAAGATACAAAGACCTGTTCCCAGGTTACTACTCTAATTTTTAAAAATGTTTATAAATTCTGGTTTTCAATGGCTTTCATTTGTAAATTTATTAAATTTTTAAATATACTTGAATGAATAATATATTACATGTTATAAATATTTAAAAAAAAAATCAGCAATTTGTTTAGTGATATTGCAATATCTCGTTCTCAAACTCCGAAAAATATTTCCACTCTTGCTGAAGAAATCTGTTTACTGCCAGAAGAGGTAAGTTAATGTCTTATTTAATATTTATTATTATATTATTAATCTCAAAACTCATAGTTTAAAAATAAATTATTTAAAATAGACATAATTATGCTTATATTAAAGGTGGAGCTTTATGGAAAATCAAAAGCCAAAATATCACTTGCAGTATTAAATCGCTTGAAAGATTCGAAGGATGGAAAATATGTTGTTGTTACAGGGTATTTTTTAATGGTTTGCAATTCAAGTTTTAAATGATATGAAAAAAATAATTTATTTTATAAAAGCGTATTTTAATATTGATATGATAACGTAAATAAATAGCCTAAACTATAAAAAATTAATTTTTTCATACAAGTTTATCAAACATTTTTGCATAAATTTTTTTTTAATTTTAAAAACTTGTTCTGTTTGCAGCAGGGGTGTGGAGTTGTAAAAAAATAGTAATGACTCCGACTCCAGTTGTTGTAATTTTTTGAGTTCAACTCCGACTCCAACTCCGACTCTAACCCCAAAGCAAAATTTTAAAAAATTCTTTGAATTCTTCAAATAAACTTACGCGATAATTAAAATTTTTTTTTTTAACAAATTTATGAAACGTTCTTTGAGGTTTAATATGAACATTAGGTTAATTGAATGTTTTGTACATGCACATGCAATACTGAGAAGTTTTACTATTGGAGTTGGAGTCGCGATTTTGTTTAGCGATTCTGACTCCGACTGAAAATGTGGCAACTCCACAACCCCGACTCCGACTCCACAGCCCTGATTTGCAGCAACAAAATCATATTCATATTTATAATAAATAAAGCTTAAATAATATAATTTGTATAAGTAAACTGTATCATTAGATTTTTAATGGTTAACCCTATTTAAATGGTTTTTTCTTTCTGATGATATAATAGTTTATTCCATTCATAATTTTAAATTATTAATTTTTAGCATTATTACTTCTTAGGCTTGTAATGATTTTATATTTTCATTAAATTTAAAGTCAGTTATTTTGAATTGACCATCGGTTTTTCAAATATTAAAAAGTTGGCACACAAGTTAACATTTTATTTGCTATAGTTATTATTGGTTATAATTATATCTAGGTTCAACATTAAAATGCATGATGGTGTGCAATGCATGATGGTATAGGGTTCTTCTGCTGTTTAAGCAAGTTTTGATCAAAAATTGAATTTTATTGTTGGACAAAACATTTTTGATTGATTATATTTAATTAGTCAAATGATATTTTTAAGTGCTTTCGTGAATGAAGAAATCAATGTTTTAAAAATCCTACACTTTAAATATTTAAACGACAATTACATGAAATACACTAATGAAATAAATTCAGATAAAAGTAAAAAAAATAAAGCTTAAATTTCTTTAGTTTTTTTTTTTAACATTTTTAAATTCAAATAAAAAATACACTAATGAAATAAATTCAGATAAAAGTAAAAAAAATAAAGGTTAAATTTCTTTAGTTTTTTTTTTAACATTTTTAAATTCAAATAAAAAAAAAATGCTGAAATAAGATGATGTTTTGATGAAAGTATATGTTATGTATAATATTATCCATACATTTGCTACACCATTCAATTGTTGGATAAAACCTATAAAAAAACCAAAATGATCATTTTGGTTTAAAATTATAATTTGAGTTTATGGTCTGCGTGTTGTGTTAACTTTAAAATTTGTGCATGTGTTGACTTAAAGACTTGTGTCTGATGAACTGCAGACTAGTTCAGTGACTAGGAATTGAGTTAGAATAAAGTTAAGGATTTTGTCAATAAATGGTACAACTGCTTATTTTGTATGATTTTGTAGTTGAATTAGAAACTATGGCAAATATTTTTAACTTGGTGTGCTATATTGTTGCAAATATAATCTTTTCTTGAAATAAATATTGATTTGAGTTTGCAAAAAACTAATAGTACAATATTTTGGAATATTATATTTAAAGAGATCAGGTAACGTGAAGGGTAGAGTTAACTCCAGGTTTATTTGTATCATTACGAAGATGGCGGTTAAGTTTTGTAGATATGTGTTTAAATAGATTGTTGATTTTGCAGATCTGGTATTAAATTTAAAAGTGGAATGTGAGTAATTGTTTTTAGGTTTGTTTAAAATTTGTTTAAGTGTGCTGAGACATACGAAATCAAGAAGTTCTTCAATAGGAAGGATACCGTAGTAGCTTGCATCATGTGGATCAATATCAGCAGCTTTTAGAAGGCGGTTTTAAAAAAATTGCATCCTAGATTTAGTTTTATTGGTCGCTGAGGTGAGGATAATTGCATTGTAAGTAAAGTGGCTAAAGCAATAAGCTTGGTAGGCAGATATTAGCATGGGTTGAGACTATCTACTAAATATACTCATTAGGGACAATTTCCATATGTAGACTAGACTATTGTTTGACAAATTTTAAACTTGAGTTGAGGTTGATGCCAAGGTATATGTATTAACTTCAAGAATTTCGTTTTTTAATGTTATGACTGGCTTTTCACCTCTGCCAATATAAATAACTTAGCATTAAAGAAACATTTTATTATCATTGCACCATCGTTGTAGACTATCTGCCACTTCTTGTGGAAGGGAAGAGTTATAACCAGTTATGTAAGCTAGGATATCATCTGCATCTAAATCATCGCTTCTAAAAATGATAACAGTTTAGATTAACAACTTAGGATTGAAGCAATACCTGACCAAACCTAAACCCTCAGTTGATGTATATACAATCCGCTATGAAATTAATGTTTAAAAATTTTTATATTAATTTTATAAACAATTACTTTAAACAAACGATTGTCTTTTTTATATTTTTAAAAATGGAAAACTTAATGTTATATATAAATTATTAATTTTTTTTAAGAATTACTCCTACTCCATTAGGAGAAGGTAAAAGTACAACAACAATTGGATTAGCTCAAGCTTTGGGATCTACATTAGAAAAACAAGCATTTGCCTGTGTTCGTCAACCTTCTCAAGGACCAACTTTTGGAATAAAAGGTGGTATAGGCTGTTCTTTTTTGTGGGCATAAAACTGTTTATGTTAAATTTTAAAGTATATTCATATAATAAATCAAGTATATAACAATTAATGGTTAACATTAGAATATATAAATCAGTACAATAAATTAGAATTATAAAGCATTACCAATAAAAGCAATAGTTTGAAATAACAGTTAAATATAACATAAGACACACAATGGTAGTTGTGTTGATCTGTTTTTTGATTTTGATTGAAATAGAGATTATCAAAATGTTATCTTTTAAGTGTTTTAGAAATTTAGGTTGTTTATGAATTTTTAATAGTACTTCTAAAAATCAATATCAGATAAAATAATCTGGGTTCTTCATCATACCTGGTTTATAGTATTTTAAATGATAAGTTGTTTTAGTGATTTCTACTGATTTACTTTGAACGTATGATACGTTCCACTTAGTTTGAATTGGTATGGCACTTTCCACCTACTTGGTATGGCACTTTCCACCTACTTAGTGTGGTGCTTTCCACCAACCTGGTATGATCAAGAATAATCTCTGACCAACAATAATCAAGAATTGTCTCTGATCAACAATGTATCAAAAATAATATCTGATTAATAATGTATCAGCTAAACTTAGTATCATTGATATTTAAAAGCTTTCTCTTTAAAAAATAATTTAATTAGTTACTATGTCAACAAATTAGTTGTGTTATAAGTTAAAATATTTTCACATGTTTAAAAAAAAGATAAAAAAAAAAAGATAAAAAAAAAGTAAAATGTAAAATCAAGGGTATACATTTGAACATAGATTAAACTTTTTTGCAGACTTTTATTTTAGATTTTTTATTGCATAAAAACTTTCTTAATATTTTAAGTTGTTAAAATTTTTTTATGGAAATACTTTTTAAACTTGTTTTTCTCAAATATGATTACCAACTTTTATAAAGTTTTGCTTCTTTGGAATACCAGGTTAACATTCTTTAGAAAAAATACATTTCAATAACACACTTTAATAATTAAAGTATTTTTTTTAATTAGGTGGAGCTGCTGGAGGTGGCTATTCACAAGTTATACCAATGGAAGAAGTAATTCATTATTTTTTTTGCTTCTTAAGAGTCATTTTCTGGAAAAACCAGGCAAAGCTACTATTGGCTCAATAGTGATATCCTTCAAGGCGTATTCTTTTTTTGCCTAAAAGTGATATCCTTCACGCTAAGTTTTTTATGGTTTAATGTCTTTAAATGTATAAATTAAAAAAAGTTCAGATTTTACATTATTTTGCTTAATATTTTTTCAACTTTGCAATATTACTCCCTAAGTCTTTTTTTTAAACATATTAGTCTGGTTGAAATCTTGATGTTCATTTTGTTAATTACAAGGAAGGGCTTTCCTTAGAAGTTTTTTACTTTTTTTTTTGTGGAGGTTCTGCCTATAATTCTTTAATAAAAAAAGAAACTTAGGATACAGTTGAGTCATTGCCTTTAAATTTAGTTTGAAAACCACAATATCCTAATATAACTTTCAAAGTGTTAAAAAGGTCAAAAGTTTGCATTACAATATAAATAATTAAGCCTGGTTGAAGGATATCACTTTTAAACATTTCCTGGTTTTTTCAGAAAACGACACTTAATTATTTTACAAATACTAAAGAAATCAATTTAACAAAGTAACGGTTGTAATTTAATAAAGTGTAAGCTAAGTAGTTTTAGCTTTTGTATAAAATCCAATATTATAATTATGGATGGTAGTGTATATATATATATATATATATATATATATATATATATGTATATATATACATATACACATTACCATCCATAATTATAAGAATGGTCGTTCTTTTTGATATAAAATACCAAAGTTTTACTTACTAATGAGAGAGAAACGGAAAGCAAAGTCTACCTGAATTATATGTTATCTTTATATTTATAAGGTTTACAAAAAAATTATTTTTAATTAAATTAGTTTATAATTTACTCGCTTTTTAATCACCCTTAGCGACAATAACTGCCATGCATATTTTTAGCACTCTACGTAACCAGTTTTATCCAGTTTGTCGAAGTCAATTTTATGCCACTAACTAATAAGTTTTTTCCACATCTTATGCATCATTAGGCATTAGCTTTTGACATTACTTTTAATTAATCTCATAAAAATACAATAGGAGAAAGATCCTTTGATTGAGGAGGCTAAATCATTTTATTTAATATTAGATTGATCTCAACTCAGTCAAATAACTTAAATAATTTTATCAAAAATATGTTTTATATTTAAACATCAAGTCATTTTCTTTTGAAAAAAAAAATGGCTTTCCATTAACCCATCTTTCCGAAGGTGTTGCATGATTTTTTAAGTGTACAAGTAAACTTGGTTTTTCATTACTCCCTCTATTTTTACAAAATCACCTGTGGCATTCAAACCAAAAGAGTCGCACACCTTAACACTACATCCACCATGTTTTACAGTAGATAATACACACTATTTTATCATGCATTCAACGATTTTTTTTCAAGACAAACAATCTTATCTTGAAATCAAAGATTTAAAACTTCAACACAATGGTCCACGATTACAGTCATTTATGGTCCATTTTTTATGTAGTTTTGCCCACTTTAGCATTTTTATTATTATTATGATTTTTAATAAAGAATTTTAATCAAAATACTTTTAAACATAGTTATAAGAAAGAATAGTTTGGAGGCAAACAATCGCATTTTGTTTTAACTCTTTCATACTGTTTTTTCTCATTTCGGGACTTCCGAACATGCACAAAAAGGTTGTTGTTGTTAGCGTTTGCCTGTTATTTTACTAAGTTGTATTTGTGTTTTGATTGAAATTAATTTTCTTGATATGCCTGGTGAAAATTGTGCAATATTTGGTTGTTCAACTTTAAGAAGACACAAAGGTATCAGCATTTTCAAAGTTCCTACTCCAACTAATGATGCAAATAAGAAATGGAGTAATGACCTTATTAACGTAGTTACTAGAGACAGACTCATTGATGATTCTTTGAAAAAACGAATTGATTCTTTTAATCTTTATATTTGTGAGCTTCACTTTACTGAAGATCAATTTTGGGTTTACTCATCTCGAAAGATTTTAAAGGAATGAGCATTGCCGACCCTAAATCTTCCCAAAAAAAGTAATCTAATTACTTGCTTTTTAAGCTGTTTCCTCATAAACCTAGATTAAATCAAGATGAGTTTTATCGTTCACCATATTGTAATGTTTTAATAAAATCTCGAAGTTGTTGTTCTTCATGCCATTCTTTGCAACTTAAATCTAATTATGAAGTAAATAATAAAACTAAAACTTTAAAACAACCTGCAAAGCTGAACGCTCCTCTTAATTTTACCTCCACAGAAAGAATTAAATTAAGTTTGAAACAACAACGTTTAAAATGCAAACAGTTGGAAAGTCAAATTGAACAAATGAAAACAGTTTTAAATATGTAAGTGAAAAGGTTAATTTAGAACTTGACCAAGACCTTAAAACATTGTATTCTGGTTTTAATCAAAAAAATATTCCAGACTTCATGAAACTATTTAGGAATGAGCAGCAAAAATATATTCAAGCTTCTAGTCCCTGCAGTGTTAAGTATCATCCAATGATAATAAAATTTTGCCTTAATTTAAAATTAAATCTTAAACAGCATATTCTGATTTGCGTTTTGATAGTAAGACTGGTTCAGGGTTTTTAGTTCTTCCAAGTTTACGCACATTGAGAGACTATAAAAATTATAAAGATTCTTCAAGAGGTTTAAATCCTCAAATCATAAGTGATCTTGCAAATAAAACTGCTAGTTTCTCTAGTGCTGAACGATTTGTTACAATTCTGTTTGACAAAATGAAAGTTCAAGAAGATTTAGTCTGGGATAAGTACTCTGGTGAGTTGATTGGATTTGTAGATTTAGATGATATTCAAACAAACTATGCAACACTTAAAAATGTAAGAGAGCTAGCATCTTATGTTTTAGTTTTTCATGTTAAAAGTGTACTAAACCCACTTTCCTATAGTCTAGCAACATTTGCCCCAACTGGAGTAACATCAATACAACTTATGCCAATATTTTGGGAAGCAGTGCGTTATCTGGAAAGTATAAATTTGAAAGTAATTGCTGCAACTGCAGATGGTGCATCTCCAAGTAGGAAGTTTTTTAAAATGCATAAGAAATTAGATGGCGGCTCAGGAAAAAACATTATATATCGCACTAAAAACTTATTTAGTAATGATAATAGATTCATCTTTTTCTTTGCAGATGTACCTCATCTAATTAAAACTTCTAGAAACTGCCTAAGTAATTCTGGTTCTGGATGTAAATCATGCTACATGTGGAATAGTGGATTTTTTCTTCTTAGGAATCATATCTCAACATTTTGTAATTCCGATTTAGAAAGAGGTTTAAAACTTGTTCCTAAACTAACAAGCAATCATATAAACTTAACACCGTATTCTGTAATGAGAGTGCGACTTGCACCCCAAGTATTGAGCAAAACAGTCGGAAATATTTTAAAGCATTTTGGACCAACAAAATTCTGCTGTTCCAGCAGCTTCTGGTGGTCCAAACTGCTTTAAAACATTTCTGACTGTTTCGCTCAATACTTGGGATGCAAGTCGTACTCTCATTACAGAATACGGTGTTAAGTTTAAGAAGCTGCTGGAACAGCAGAATTCTGTTTAATGATGGATATGTTTTTTGATTGTCTAAATGTAAAAAATAGTGCTGAATATATAACGAATGTTATATATTCAGCACTTTTTTTTGTATATATTCAGCCATTTTTAAAACCATATGAAACGGTAGATGATTCATGATTTAATTGGTTAGATAACTTTCTCCTATACTTTAAATTGTGGAAAGAATCTATAAATCAAAGAGAAGGAAATTTTAATGAGAGCTCAAAATCAAAAATGTTTATTTCTTTACAAACTTATGAAGGTTTGCAAATTACAGTGCATTCATTCAAAGAAGTTGTTAAATTTTTACTTGAAAATGGTGTTCAATTTGTCTTTTCTGAGAGATTCTGCCAAGATGACCTTGAAAACTATTTTGGTAGACAATGTGCAATTGGTCGCAGAAAAGATAATCCGTCTATCAGAGATTTTGGCTACAACAACAAAACAATCAAGTCGCAGTTTTCAGTTCGTCCAATTAATGGTAATGTTCAATCTAACAGCAATAATATCATAGGTATAGATTAAAAACCAACATTAAGCTCTTCATTTTCACATTTATTGATTAAAAAAAAAAATTGTTTTACATAACCACAAAAATGTTAAAAGCATTATTTGTCATTTATGATGACATTATGACAAATCAGTCGCCCAATATAGACTATTTGGACCAGTCAGCTGCAGTGGCGCATACAAAGGGGGTGGAGGGGGTAACTACTTAGAAATTTTAAACTTCAAAATATTATTGTTACAATTAAAAAAGTTAATAAAAAACACCGGATCAAGGAGGGGGGCTAGGGGGACTATAGCCCCGGGCTCCACAAATTTGGGGACCCCAAAAATTTGAGAATCTTTTTTTTTTAAGTCATTTTTAGGCTCCGGCTCATAAAAAAACCTCCAAAAACAACAATAGCTCCAAGAAGTTTTAATCCACCACTGCTAGGAGGGCTAGACTTACCCCTTTTAAGGGGAGTAAGCCCCCCCCCCCCCTCTCATAAGAACTTTTAACTATTAACATCAAAATTATAAAAAAAAAATTATAAAATTTTTAAACTATTAACGACAAAATCATAAAAAAAAAAATTGAAAGTAAAAGTTAAGTTTTATGTGTCATTTAAAATAAGAAAATTAAAAAGATCTATGAATGCACTACCAATTTTCAAACAACAATTCAAATTTCTTCCAACAAATTAAATTTAAATTTGAACATCTTTTATTATAGATGTGCTCAAAGCACATCAACTTTTTTGGTGAAATTGGAAACGGAGAGCTAACTTAGGCCATTTAATAAGTTACTTATAAAATGTTAATCTTCTTGTGGCAGTGTACTGTTAAGGTGCTCTAAGAAGCCATTAGGTCAGCTTGGGGCGCCCTAATAAATTTAAAAAAAAATCCAGGGAAACCAAACCGT